TTTTTTTTTTTTTTTTAAGCATACACTAAGCTATATTTATACAAAAGTCATAAACTTTTTAAGAAAGTGAATGAAGTACATTCATTATACGTATAAAGTATTATACTGATATTATTAAGTTTAAAAAATGTTTTAAATCATTGCTTGAATTGTAAAGAACTATTATTATTATTAACTCTTCAAAGTAATCCCTCTGAGATTATCGTATGTACACTTATACCAACGTCCTTAGTTTTAGTTTCGAAGACGAAGACGAACAGACTTTTATATTTAATTACCTCAATATTTTAGTGAAAGCCAGTAATTCTTTTTTTTTTATTATCTCCCACTGAACTATTTAAATCACGAATAATTAAAAATAAATAAATTTACAATTGTATTGCTTTTACGACTTTTCATCGTTATGTTTGTCAACTACGTTTAACATATCGTAAATATACAATATATATATATAGGCATATAATTGGCCGTGTGAGTCCTTCAGTATAATTTTAAGCTTTTCCATAAACTGAGCCTAATTAATTGCTTCTGAATCATGTTTAATCCATGCTTTTGGTGTAAGATATATACAGTTGCAATAAATGTAATCGTAATTATCATTAATTCAAACCATATTCCCTCAATCTGCAAGAGCATTAATTTTGCATTTTAACCGTTTAATGCACTTTGCGGTTATGAGCCCCGCCAAATGCCTTTGTTATTAAATTGTTTATAGTAATAGCGCTTTTCCTCTTTTCATTATTTTTTAACTTTGCTGTGACGTTGTGGTTGTAATATGTACCGTTAAATTGACCGTTGGCCACAATACACGTGCGCAGTTTTATTGTGCTTCCTGAATGGTTTATTATCGGACCATTTTAATGGATTTTCAATTGTAATGAATGCCTTTACAATTAATATATATATAATATACATATATATTGTGTGACAAAATGAGTGAAGCAAGAAATGGGTAAAGTAACAAAATAAAACATTTTTTAAAATATATACACAAGTTTTTATTATGGTGGTATTATACCTACCTCTAACTGAAATATTAAGGTGAAGACAATATAATTTAAAATATTAATAATATTTAATAGAGTATTCAAAAATCGATTTGTTGAAATTTTTACATATATATACATATATTTACATAGAGGCGATGACAGCTTTGTGAAACGATAACACAGTTTGATATATCTTTGGAACATAATTAACATTTGCATTATTTATCCATACAGTTATTTGGTTTCTATAAGGGCATTTTGCTGATTTAAATGAATTAACCAATTTTACTAAATTCTTAAAAAAAAGGCTAAAATATACACTAAAAAATAGCTTCCAATGTAAAAGTTCTCTCTGATACTGTACCAATCTATATACATATATATAAATACATAGATATAATCTATCCTTTAGTGGCAGTTTTGTTCAGGCAGTTGAGCCAGAATTGATCTATGGTATTATACAAATGCGGCGTAGCATTGCCAATGCTGTGGTTCTCATCAGTATAGGTCTATAAGAATAAAATATAATTACAATAATTGCATATAACTATAGTATCATATCATACGCACCTGCTCCTCAAAGGGTATATCAGCGCGCTGTAAGAGTTTGGCCAACAGCAGCGAGTGCTGATAGTGCACATTGTCATCGCCCGAGCCATGGATTAGCAAAAAGCCATGAGTTCTGAAATTATCCAAATTACTGAAGGCGCTGCTCTCATTGTACTTGAGCTCATTGTCGTTCACAGTGGGCAAGCCCATATAGCGTTCCGTATATATCGTATCTAAGTGAAGGAAGTTCATTTTAAATATACAATATATATCCATGATGAGCTATCCCTATTACCGTAGTAAAGCCACGAGGTAACTGGCGCCACGGAAACACCGCATTTGAATACTTTCTCATTATCCTTTTCAAGAGTTTTTGCTGTCATATAGCCACCATAACTCCAGCCCCAAATGCCCGTGCGATTGGCATCGATAAACTTGAATTTTTGTTGAAGCAAGTTGGTGACAAAGATTTGATCCTCCACCTCGTGGTCGCCCAAATCATTGTTGACAGAGAACAGCAGTTTTTTGCCCTTATTTCCCGTGCCACGCCCATCGATGGTGGCGTAAATGGTATTCCTTGTGGTGACTACAAAGGCATCGTAGCCGACAGTGAATCCATTCGTCACTCGCACCGAATTGGGTCCGCCGTATACATTAACAATCATGGGATACTTTTTGCTCTCATCGAAATTAGGTGGCAACGCCAACCTGGCAATGCCAATGCTGCCATCTGCCAAGGTGACATTCAGAAAACGATATGTGGGCATCTGCTTAGTGGCCACCTGAGCGCGATAAGCGCTATTCAGCTCCCAGTCCGTGACCTTAGTATGTGTGGCCGATTCCCAGACCTGAGTATAGCTGGTAATATTGGAACGTCAACTTTTCTAAATATACAAAACTGTTGAATATAGATTGTCAGTAATTTTGCTTGGATATCGAAAGATGATCAACATCGATTATTGACCCTCATTTCATATGCGCTCTAGATTATGATACAATGATATAATAGGAAATGGGAATGCTAATATGTTTTTATGTGTATGTATTAATTCGTATAAATGTGATCTGGATAAAGTTTAGGTATTTCTAAGAGTGCTATTAGATAGCTCAAATTTGTTTTGTTTGTCAGAGAGTGAAACTGCGCACTACAAATCAGTATGGATTCATTAACAATCCCCTAGAGAGATATAAGATGTATATATTACATATCTATAGAACTAAGTACCCCTTTCATATATGTAGTTGGAAGTATATACCAAATACTTACAGCTTATCATTGACCTCATCATAGCCATAGACAGTGAGCACTGTGAATTCGCCACGCGATTTCCAGCTATTGAGGCCCGTTTCCAAATTGAGATTCCACACCTGATACCAGTTGTCGATGAAGTAGGCAAATATGCAGTTCTGGCCATTCTTCAGGCATTTGGGCGTACTCATGGCCACCCAGCCGTCGGGTTCCTCAATCCTTGTCACCTCCTTGCACACGCCCTGCGGGGTGCAGCGCTGCAGCGTCGATAGATTCTGGCGACGATTCATCCAGGTGATGAGCAAATGATTATTATCCGACCAGACCACATTCTGGAGTATGTGATCGGAGCTGACAATGTCGACGGGCGCCTCGATGCGTTGCATGATGGGATCGTTGTCGGCCAGATCGTACACCCTTAGGTAGACAGTCGGATTAGGTGTGCCGCTCTTCGGATACTTGAGGTGCTCCTCATGTGGATACTGATAGTATTCATTTTCAGTGTCGCCATAGAGGAAATATCTAAAGGTCTCCACATTGGTGTCATTGAAGAAGCCAACGGCCAGTTTAGTGCCATCCGGCGACCACCAGAGGGCGCTGCCGCTGCTCAACACCTCCTCCTCATAGACCCAGTCGGGCACACCGTTATACACGATGCCATCTTTGCCATCCTCGGTGATGGCCACCTCCAGATTCTCATTGAAATGGATGTGCACGTTGTTCTGATAGACATAGGCCAGCCGATCCTTGAGCGGCGACCAGGCGCAATACTGCAGCTTCTCGCCCTTGTGTATCTTGATCGCCGAGTTCGTTGCGATGTCATACACATCGTATTGGGCCACATTCGAGTAACGGAATTTCCCTGTCAAATTGTAGCGTACCAATATTTTGGTATTATCCGCAGAGAGCGTAAATGTAGCCCCACTGTATGTATTCTAAGATCATATATACGATTATATTTATTATCATTAATTAGTTTATTTCGTTTAATTTGGAATATATACCAAAAATGTGGATTCCAAGAATACTGTATTTTGCTTTGTGGCTGCATTGTATTTGCGAATCGATCGATCACTAGCCGTATAGTAGAATTCCTCATCTGTAAATAAAAATATTATTTTTATATTAT